ACGCAGAGCATCGGGAGCTCTGCCCCCTTCTCCCTGGGGACTCTGGCATCGCGAGCTCTACCCCATCCCTTGTAGGTACCCTGGCATCGGGAGATCAGGACCGCGGCATCTGGAACTCTGGCCCACTCCCCCCTCGCGGACCCCGGCGTCTGGTCCAGACTCACCTCCAGCATTGCTCGGTGCACGGTGACTTGGCTGTAGACCCGGGCACCCTCCTCTGGGCTCACTGCCTGCAGCTCGTCCTTCTTTAGAGAGAAAAGCTGAGCGCCAGTGAGGACGCCCAGAGCACTCACGGTCCTAAGCAAGAGATGAGGGAGGGGCGAAGCAGGTCAGGAGGCCCCTCGCCCCCTCAGGCCAGCCCAACCCCTGTCCGACTTAACCATCCTCTGCACAAGTACCTGGGCATCTTGAGCCCCCAGCCTCCTCTATTCCCGGGGACTTCGGTGTCCTGAGCCCCCCAGCCTCCCCCGGTACCCCAGCATCAGGTCCTCCGGCCGACTCGCCGGTCTCTGCAGAGACTTGGGTCCCAGGGAGCTTCAGATAAGGAAACGCCCCTTCTCCAGTCCCCTGTGTCCCCAGCTCCCTGCAGCAGGTACTCACCCGGGGCTGAAGCCCTTGGCCTGAAGCCAGGCGCGGACTTGAAGGGCTGGGGAGCGGGGGCTGAGCGGGGCTTCCGGGGTCGGACGGACCGGGCCGGGTGATCGATTGGAGCTCCGGGGGCTCCGGGCACCCTGGGCCAGGCGGGCCTGCAGCTCCTCGTTAACGCTCAGCATGTGCGCGAACTTCTCTGCGGGATGTCGTGGGGGTAGAGAGAACAGGGCAGGGCTGGGGCACCCCCAGAGCCCAGGTCCGCAACTCCCCTTCCCCCTCCAGGGCCCAGGCTCGCAACTCTCCTCCCCCCTCCGCTCCAGGACGCTGGAAGGCCCTGGACCCACTGAGTCACGGACAAGAGAAAAGGGAGATCCACAGAATGCTGCCTTGGCCACTATGAGGCCCTTGTGACCTTGGGCAGATCACTCTCTGAGCCTCAGATGGATGGGCTGGGCTAGATGACCTCAAGCTCACATTGGCATAGTGCTTTCAGATTTATAAAGTACTTTCCCTTTGGCAACTCTGTGTGTGTGTGTGTGTGTGTGTGTGTGTGTGTGTGTTGGGGGTGGTAGGTCTACAAGGGTAATCGTTCCCATTTTACAGATGAGGAAACAGAGGCTCAGAGAGGCTAAGTGATTTATCCACGGTCACACAGGAAGCACCAAAGAGGGATTCCAACCCAAGGCTCTCCTGTCTCCAAGTCCAGGGCTCATCCACAACAGACCTGGAGACTGATATAGAGAGAGTAACAGAGAGCCATAGCAAAGAGGGCCAAGACCCAGAAACAATGAGATGACAGGTAGAGCTGTCCAAAGAGGCCGGGAAGCTTAGACACTCAGGGACAGAAAGAGACGGAACGCCAGCTCCGAGCTGGGACCAGAGCCTCGGACCTCTTCCCCCCCCACCCCAACCAGGGTCCTCAGGAACCAGAGGCTGGAAAGGATTGAGACCAAGGACTTCGGCCACCCGCCCCTCCCCAACCTGCCCCCCAGGCAGATACAGAGACCCACATAGTGGATGGAGAAAGAGAAAGAGGAGGGATCCAAGACATGTAGAGGAGGGCTTGGAGGGAGATAAGCAAAGTCCCCAAGAGACAGATGCTCCCAAAAGCAGGCCTTCTGGGAACACTCCTTGACGAAGCATTGGAGAGCCCTCCAAGGTGCCCAGCCACCTGCCACCCACATACCGTTTTCCCCAGCGTCCAGGTCCAGGCTGTCCGTGCTGCCCCAGCGGGGCCTGGGAGGGGCTGGGGCCAAGGGTGGGGCAGGGGTACTCTGGTCCTGTGGGGACAAAGAAGTTAAGTGGGGGGGCTCAGGCACTCCCCAGGGCCCCAGGCTTCCTTCCCCCGACCTTGCTCACCAGTGCCCTGGCAGGGCTGGGTTTTCGGCTTGGAGGCCCCAGGTGTGGGGTGAGGATGTTGTAGGGGACATAACCCTGCTGTCCCTGAAGGTCCCGAACCTTCCACCATTTCCGGGCATCATCTAGGACCTGAGAGGTGGGGCAGGAAGACCAAGATTTAGAGTTCTGTATGAGGCCCAAACCTCACCTTTATTCCTTCCTTCATCAAACTTACTGGCTCCTTCAGTATCAGGGCCCTAGGCACCATCCGGGCCAACACGTGGGAGGGAGAAGGCCCAAGTCCTGATCTCTGAACTCAGAGGTGAGCCCTTCAAGGCTCAGGCGCAGAAGGCCACCTCCTCTAAGTAGCCTCTCCTGAGTGCCCTCCTCTGCTCTACTTAGCTGCCATTTATGTATCTGTGCACAGGTGCTAACTGCCCCCTCCCTAATGTAAGCCCCTTGAGGGCAGGGCCTAATAGAGGCACTTAACGTTTTATTATCCTTTGGCCCAGACATTCCTTGGCCAGGCACAAAGACAGCACATAGCAGCAAAAAAATGGGGACTGATCAACCAGCTTTGAGACAGAGGGGATGTGATGGGGCCTTCTTTCACTGAAGAGGGATGGGGGAGCTGGGCCCTAAAGAGATGGATGGGGGAGAGGGGCCATCTAAGGAACAAAAGCGCAGAGAGCAGATGGAAGGAGAGGAAAAGTGGCAGTGGTGGAGGCATGAACTTTCATGGACCACAGAGTACAGGAAATGGAAGGGTGTCATGTCAGTACTTGACCTTGTAGCCATAGGGAACCACTGGCCTTAGGGGAGAGGAGGTCTATGAGAAGTGCTATAAGGAAGATGAGGCTTTGCAAGGAGGAGAGACTAGCTAGGAATTGGTCATAACCCTGCAGGCAAGAAATGAGAGCCTGATCTCATGGGCTTTGGGGGCTTCGGGAGTGCAGAGAAGATGACTGATGGGACATATGTTAGGTCAACATAAGCCTTGGCCACTGAGGAGAGAGGGGAGTTCGAGATGATGCTGGCTGACCAGGAGGACAGCTACAGGGTCAGTCTGAGAGGGTGGAGAGGGGACAGGTGCAGGGGCCATCCAAAGGGCAGACGTCCAAGCAGGCAGCTAGAGATGGGGAACCGGGGCGCCAGAGGGAGGTCCCAGAAGGACGAGTGGATCTGGGGGGCCCCTTGCCAAGAGGTGATCACTGAAGTCACCTCATCCCCCAGGGACAGACTGCAGAGAGGGGAGAAGGCGAATCCTGGTGCTTGGGAGCGGTCACAGAGGCCGGAGGAGGACCAGAAGCCACCACGTCTTAGATGCCAATGGCGAGAGGACAGGGAGAAAGGGGAAGGGAGGATTCCCCTTAAGGGACCGAACCAGAGGCTTCAGGGGAGAGGGAGAGCTGAAAGCATCTCTGAGGGGGGTGATGATGGGAGCAAGGTCTTGGGGACGGGAGTTGGAGGGGGCTGGCTTTCCCCAGAAGGGAGGCCCAGAACCTCTCAGTGCCTGGCACTTGAGAGGGTCAGGGGACGCTGAAGGAGTAGAGGGCATCTCTGCCTCCATCTGCCCCTTTCTGTCTCTGCTTCCCCCCTACTCCCCATCCTCCGGGCCCCAGGTTTTGGTCACCTCCAGCAGGTCCCCTCGACGGACAGAGAGCTCACTGCCATTCCGGGCCTGGAAGTCGTAGTTACAGAGAACCCACTTCCCTGGGACCCTGGGCTCAGGCTCCAGCCCTGGTCCTGGCTCCAGCTCTGAGTCTGGTTCTGTGTGACTGAGAGGGAGTTTGGGGGAAGGGGTCAGAGGGAAGGTGCTTCACCCAAGGGAGAGGGGGCAGGTGTGTATGGGAGGATGGGGTGGGGGGAAAGTGGGAGGGCAGGGAGGCAGGGACGAGAGGGCAGAGGGGCAGGAGAGGGGTAACTAGACTGACAGCCCCAGAAACAGAGACACACACTGACAAAATGTGAGACATACAGAGCTACCGAGACTCAGAGAAAGAGATAGAGGTAGAGACTGAGGAAGAGAGCAGATAGAGAGACAGAAAGGGAGAGAGAAGAAGCATAGAGATGGAGATGGAGAGACAGGGAGAGAGATGGAGAAAGAGGGAGGGAGGGAGAAAAAGAGGGAGAGAGGCAAGACAGACAGACTGGAGAGGGAGGGATGGAGAGGTAAAGGAAGAGAGGAGGGAAAAATGAAGAGAAAAGGAGAGAGGAAGAGGGAGAGGAAGAGGGAGAGAGAGAGACAGAGAGAGAAAGAGAGACAGAGACAGAGAGAGGAGAGAGACAGAGAGACAGAGACAGAGAGAGAGGGGAGAATGAGAGAAAGAAAAAGAATGCAGGAGAGACAGGCAGCAGATGTGGAGACCGGTTGGGTATGTGTTCCCAGGGCTGGGTGGGGCAGGGGGAGGGGTGGGGCCGAGGCCCCCCCCCCCAGTCCTACCTGTGCAAGGGAGGGGGGGTCTTCAGGGCCTCAGCCCCTCCCTGTTCAGGGCTGACAGCTCCGGGGTCCAGTCCCTGCAGAGCCCCACTTCTGCCCCTCCATTGTACAGTCCTCCCCTGATCTTTGATTTTCCTGCTTCCCTTGTCCCCATGACCCCCAGTGTCTGGGTCCCTCTGCCCCATGGGCCCCAGCTTCCTGGTCCCTTGACTTGCCGTTCCCTGGAGCTGATCCTTCACTGACCCAGTGAGACCCTGGCACCCCGGGCCCCTTCCCTCATCCCAGCCACGCTTGCTGGGCGGCCCATCCTGGGTCTCTCCCCCTTCCATATATACCCCAGAACCCTCTGTCTGTGTGTGTCTCCATACGTGTGTGTCTCTGTGTTGCTGCCTGTCTCTGTGACTGTCTCCATTTCCGTGAATCAGTCTCTGCCTGTATTTGTCTCTGCCCCAACACCTCCCTCCGTCACCCTCCCACCCAATTCCATCTCTGCCTGTGTTCCCAGTCCAATGCCCCCATTCATTTGTGTCTGTGTCTCTGTATCCCTCCCACATCCCCCCAGCCTCTCCCCCTCTCCCCGCCCTCTCACCACCTCACCCACCTGCATCCCCCAACCCAGAAAGGGACACAGAGACACAGAGAAGGACAGTCAGAGACAGACACAGAGAGACAGAGACAGATGTTTAGACCTTCCAGGACTCCTCATCCCAGAGTCCATCCCTCCCAGAGTCTCCATCCACACCAGGCCCCCCGCTTCCTTCCTCACCCCCACCCAGGGCCCATTCTCAGACTCACCCATTGACCTCGATCTGTGGGGCTGATTGCTGTGAGGGAGAGAAGAGGAAGCTGATGGTAGGGGCAACCAGGGTCATTGCCCTGTACCTGCCCTGGAACCCTTCAAGGGACCACAGGATCTCAATCCCAAGACCTTTTCCATCACAGAATGTCAAAGCCAGGATGGCGGCTTAGCTGTTTGGCCCGGAACCCACGCCTCCTTCATGCTCAGCCTGAGCTCTACCCATCAGAGACTGTCAGCTCTGAGAGGGCTTGGAAGACACTGGGGAGAACTCCCCCCTTGGACTGAACTGAGGCCCAGGAAAGGGGGCAGGGGCTCACCTGCCACCGCCGTCTCTCATGCCTGTGCTGTCCCTCCACGGGATCCTCCCAGGGCTGGCCCCCGGGGGTAGTGGGGGCTGGTTCCCAGCCACTATAGAAAACCGGAGTGTAGGGGGTGCCGTCCTCCGGGGGAAGTTCAAGCCTGTGGGGGACACAGAGGGAGGACGCGGGAGGGTCACCAAAGCCACTTAACTGCTGCCTGCCTCAGTTTCCTCTTCTGTAAGATGAGGATGATAATAATCCCTCCCTCCCAGGGTGGTGATGAGGCTCAAAAGAGAACATTTGTAGAGTGCTTCGCAAGCCTTAAAGTGCCAGAGAAAGGGCAGCTACGCCCTCGGGTTGTTCCTAGCCTTCCCAGGGAAACTCTTCTCCGCCCATTCAGCCCCACAGGGAAGTCACAGGTGCTAAGTACCGGTCCTTGGTCCAAGCGTCTCCCAGCGAAGTCCAGAGCTCGACCTCTCGGGCTGTCAGACTCTCTTTCAGGAGAGCTACGGCCTCCGCCGTTAGGCGAGGCTGCTGCACGGTCTGGGCAAAGCCGGGGCCTCCGGTCGTATCCACCACCTAGCATGGGATCAGAGGGAATGCCCCAGCCTGGACTCAAGCCCACCTGCCTCTTTGGCCCGCCCCTTCCAGACATCCTCCCGGAGGTCTGACCCCCCCCCCCCCCCCCCCCCCCCCCCCCCCCCCGCGGCCTGGCCCCCCCCCCCCCCCCCTCAGGGCTCCCCGCCCCGAGGTCTGACCACCCCCCTCCCACTTCAGGCCCGCCCCCCAGGTCGGAACACACCCCCTCCCACTTCAGGGCTCGCTCACCATCTGCAGCGGACCCAGCAGGAAGTGAAGCAGCTCTGGGGCGGAGGGGTCTGTGATGTTGGAGCGGAGGCGGGCCTAGGAGATAGGGGTAGAGGAGCTTCTGGACCAGCTGCCTTCTTTGAGGGCCTGGGATATACCATGCCCCATCCCAGGCAGTGGGGTGCATTCCTGGACCAGACCTGGGGGATCAGGGCCAGAGGAAACAGACCCCCCCCCCCAGGGACCAGGCAGGGGCCCAGATAGCTCACCAGCAGGCTGAAGGAATACTTGATTTTCTGCAAAATGTCTGTGTACTCCTCCTCTGTGGGAGGCTTTGCCCGAAGGGTCAGGAGCCCCTCTGAGGGAGAGATGGAGGTAGGGGGAACAGGGAAATGAGGGCAAGAACCTTAGTGTGGTTGAAAGAGCCCTGAGTGACCAGTCAGGTCTTAGGCAAATCTCTTCCTCCTTTCTGGGCCTCAGTTTCCCCATCTGTAAATGTAATGTAGCACCCTGCCAACATGGCCTTGGAAGGCCTGTACATGGCAAGAGATGTGACTCCTGATTGCCAGTGAGACTTTTGGGAAAGCAGACTTTGGGGAGAGAGAAGAGAAGAGAGGAGAGGAGGGGAGAGGAAAGGAGAGAGGGAGACAGATAGGGGGAGAAAGAGGGAGAGAGACAAAGGGACACAGAGAGAGACAAGGAGGGGCGGAGGGGGGGGGGGGGGAGTAGAAGTACAGGGGAAAGAGGGGAGGGCAGCGTTGAAGGCCAGTCCGCTCGTCCACACGGCCCTGGATTCCCAGCACAGGCAGCCTTAGCGACATTAACAGAAGCCTTCTCAGGTGAGCTGGGATTTCCCCTTGCTCCGCAGACAAAACCAGTGTCCCCTCGCCTGATCTCTGTAACTGCCCTGAGGACCGTTTTATTGCTTGCTCTGAACAGACCTGTTGCCCCCGGGTCTGTGACTGTGTTCTGTGTGGTGAGTGTTGGTTGGGAGGGGGCTAAGCCAGCCCAAATCACACTACCACCCTTCCTCTACCTGGGAGGACTTCTTTCCACCTAAAGCAACCGCGGAAGGTGGCTTTTCTCCTGAAGCCCAAAAGAGCGTCTTGGGGAGAAGAGAAAAGAAAAGAAAAGAAAAGAATGCACATATATTAAGTGCCTGCCTACTTTGTGCCCGATCTGGTGCTAAGCGATTTACAAAGACTGCAAAAATCCGATGGGTCACGGATGGAACTTTAGCCTCAGCGCTCCTTTGGAACACAAGAGAGAGCCAGGCTGGACTGCCCCGTCCGGGCCAGCCGGCCTCCAAGTCTCAGCAAGGGCAAAGATCGCAGTGGCCCATGGAGACGCGTCCAGGGGCATTGCAGACCTAGCGATCGATGCGCGATGCCCCGGCTTGCGATCCGAGCCTCAGTTTAAATGAATGCTTACGCCAATGCAGGGGAATGGAATCAACGATACTTCATTCTCTCCTCATTCAGATGTGCTCTGGTCGTGTGTATGTATATATTTCGTGTGTGCACGTATGCGTATGCGTATTGCATGTGTGTATGTTATATTGTGCGTATGTATGTGTATGCATGCATGTGTGTATAGATGTGTATTATGTCTATAGGTGTATTGTGTGTATGTGTATGCGTGTGTATATTGCATGTGTATACACGTGTATTGTGTGTGTGTATGTGTGTGTCAGGGGAGGCGGGGATGAACAGGACTGAAGAAAGGGGGCCTCCCTCCCTCCCTTACCTCCCGAAGCTCTCCGGCGCACCCTTCGGCCCCGCTCCCGATGCTCCAGGACCCGGGAAGCCTCGGCGGACTTCTGCAGCTTGGCCACAAAGCTCTCCACGTCATCCAGGATGTGGTTCAAGATGTCCTGCGAGCCCACAAGGGGGACAGTGAGTCATGGGAGGGGGCCCTGCCTGTCTCCTGGGGCGCTCTTTCCTCCCCAGCCACTCACCACGTTCCGCTCAGCTTCCAGGCTCTCCAGCTCCAGGGCTGGCCTCTGGGTACCTGGGGAGGAAGGCAGGGCTCAGCGACAAAGGACCCCGAGCTGCCCAGCACTGCCTCCTTCCCTCTCCTCTGCGACCCACGTACAGACGACCGGAGTGGCTCACTGCCTAAACATCTTTTGCACTTCTGAGTGGCTCCTGTTTCCCTGGTCAGACTGGTTCCCTGTGGGCAGGGCCGTGTCTCCTGTCTTTGACCCGGGATTCCCCAAGGAAGAGGCCCCAGGCAGAGGGGCTCCCTGAGGGAAGGAAGGCCATCTCTTCCCCTTTCCCTTCCATGGGACTCCCCCCAGTTTCACCTTCCTCCTCCTCGGGGACGGCTGCCTCTTCCTTGGCCCGTGGTCCCAGCAGGCGTTCCCGGGGGGCGATGGCCACGCGGGTTGAAGGCCGACGTTGGAAGGGGGCGTCCACAGGCCCAGGGCTGGGGGTGCGGTTCAGCTCCTCCTGGGTGGCCCTGAGGGGCAGGGTGAAGACAGGGGCTGGATGCTAGAGCTCAGACTCCCTCTCCTCTCCCTGCCGTGTCCTGCTCCCCACCCACCTCAGGGCTGCGGCTCGCTGATCTCCGCTGCCCGATCGCTGGGCTTGCAGGGCCCCACTGATGTCCTCCTGGATCAGCTGTGCCTGCCAAGCAAAGACACTTTGGGGGATGTAGCTCCCCCACTCCAGGCCCTCCTGCCCTGGGCCCACCTGACTCCTTTCCTCAGGGACCCTGGCCTCTGGAAAGTCACAAAGATGGAGCTGCCAGAGAGACTGGAGGGGAGAGTGAGGTGGCCCAGTACGGGTGGGGGGGACTGCCCCAGTTTGGGAGTCCCGGGGCCCGGTTGGCCCAGTAGGAGCCCCCTGCCCTCTTGTCTCCCCGCTGTCTCCTTTACTGTCTCGCTCACTTTATCTCCTTTTTCTCTTCCCTCCTGTTTTCTCCCCTCTCCCTGCCTACCTCCCTCTGTCCTCTGGTCTCCCTCTTTGCTCCCTGATTTCTTCTCCTCTGAGCCCTCCTTTTTCTCTGCCTTGTCTGTCTTTGGGCCGGTTTCCTCAGATTCCACCGGGACTTCCACCAAGGCCCTGTGGACTCCAGCCGGTCAGGTGGCCCTCCTCTGGGGCACCTCCCCAGCATCCTCCTGACTTCCCCTTCTCTTCCTCCACCTTGCTGGTCCCCCCACCCCAGCCTCTCATTCTCCGCCAGCTCTGGGAGCAGCTTCCAGGTCCCCCTTCCAAGCCCTCCCCTGCATCCCCACGGCCAGCTGGAGCCCATCTTCCCTGTCCCTGCCAGAGCCTGGGTCCAGCACCCTCCTTACCCCAACTCGGAGGCCCTGGAAGTAGTGGACATCAGGCTGGGGCCGCTCGGGCTCCTGACACACCAGGAGGAGCAGGGCTTGTGTCTGGCCCGGGGGGAATACAGCCTCACATCGAAGAATGGAGTTCAAGGCATAGGACTCTAGCTCTTCCTGTGGGAGGGTGGGGAGAGTGGGGAGAGGGGTACAGGCAGGGCTGCCTATCCCACCCCAGGACACCCAGCGCCCATGGAAGGGGCATCTCCTAATGAATCTACCAGCACCTTTGGGGTGCTTGGGTCACGGCTCCCCAGGGCATTCTGTTCACAGTCTCTCTCCTGCCCCCCTTCCTACTTCTGTCCCCTCTGATACCAAAGACGCTTTGAGATCCTCCCGTCCACTTCTCTAGAGGGAGAAAGCCACGGCCAGAGAGGGGCACGGTCCCAGCTCCAAATCCCTCCCTCCTCTCCTTTGCTGCCCACCCGTCTTCTGACCTTGGAGTCCACATCCAGAAGCTTCACGTGCCCCGTGGACACTTGCAACAGCATCTCCTGGGCCCAGATGCGACCCTGGGCGTCCATGGCGGAAAGCTTTCTCGAGGCGTCCTCCACGGTGTGGACTCCGTCCTCCTCCCCCAAGCAGAAGGTCACCAGGTGCTGTGGGGGGCAAGGCGGGTAAGGCCGTGGGTCTGAGCCCCCCTCACTCGCCCCACTCCCTCAGGCCCACAAGACTCACGTTGACCGCGTACTGGGACACATCCGCCATGACCACTGTGGAGTACCTCTTCCTTTGCTCTGGGGCCAGAGAGAGGGAAGCTTAGGGAAAGATAATTCCCCTCTCCCCCGACTAAGCTCAGATCCCCTTCCTTAGATTCCTTCCTTCTCTGCCAATGAGGAAACTCCTTGACCTGGAAGGGACCTTAGGATCATTGACTTGAGGTAGAAGGCACTATGGAGGCCCTCCCCATTTGACAGACAAGGAAACTGAGGCCCCAGAGAGGAGATGGAATCCAGCCAGGTGCCACAGTTCCTAAGGGGCAGGGCTGGGATTTGAACTCAGGCCTTCCACTTAATCTTCTTCACCACCTCCATGGCCCTCCCCTTGGCCTGAGCCACCCCAAGTCACTGTCACTGGGGGGTTGTGTGGGTGGAGGGTTCTGGACAGTTCTTTTACCAGCTAAGGCCAAACACCGGGCCCCTGACCCACAACCCAGCAGGGACCCATGTATCCTGAGATCCCGGCCTCCATCCCAACCTGGGCGGTCAGTGGCCCCTGACTCACCATAGATGGACTTGGCGCTGGGCTTGGGGGCTGCAATGGGCCTGGGGAGGAGGGTCGGAGGGTCACTGGGTGAAGCATTTCAGGCACCCCTCCCCTTCCCTCAGAGCCCCATGTTGAGTGGCAGATCCGGGAGAAAGAAGGGAAGGGCATGGAGGGGACAGAGAATGGGGGGACAGGAGGCTCCCAGCCCCAGGGGAAGGACACTCACCCTGCTGGGCTGGTCATCGTGCTCCAAAAGCGGGGGCGTCCAGCCTGGGGAGAGGAGAGGCCTTAGCTGGGACACGCTGGGACCTGCGTATCTGGTTGTTCCCTAGGCCAAGGAACCTGGGACTTGGAAGCCCTGGTTGGGGCCCCTGGAAAGAGGCCCTGGGGGTGTGGGATGCCGGGGTCCCTGAGCAGGTGGGGCCTGGGAGTCTGTGCATCTGGGGTCCTTGAGGGGGCAGAGGCTGAGGAATACCTGGGTCTGGGGAGGGAACACCAGCTTCCTGCAGAAGAAGTTGCCTGGGGGAGCAGGATGCTGGGGTCCCTGTGTTGGGGCTCACCTGGACTAATGTTCTGTCTGGGCAGATGCAGCCGTGTTCGGGAGAAGCAGCCTCCCCAGCATGGCAGGCCTAGGCCCCAGTCCCAGAGAGAGAGAGAGAGAGAGAGAGAGAGAGAGAGAGAGAGAGAGAGGCTAGGTGCCCCACCTCCCCCCACATACCTAAGCCTTCACCTGGTGGGGTGTGGCCCTGGGAGGCGGAGCTGGGAACTCCAGCCAGTGCTAGCTGGAGCTCAGGAGTCTGGGTCCTTAAGGGAGGTGGGGACTGGGGGACCAGGACTGGGTCCTTGGAAGGAGACACCAAGTGGTTTAGGTCATGGGAACAGTGGAAGGGAGGGCCCCCTCAGGGGCCCCAAGCCTGTGGTTGGCCTTGGGTGTGACCGAAACCGAGCTCTCTTTCCCTCTCTCCCTCCCTCCCTCTGTCCCGGCTTCCTCCTCCTCCCCTGCTCTCCTTCCTCCCCACCCCCGACACACATGCCCTGTCTCTTCAGGTGCACCTGAGGCAGAAAGGCCTGGGTCTGAGCCAAGGACCCTGGGCCTCGGCCGGAGGATGCTGGGAGATCATTAATCCCACCCTGCTCCCTCCTGGGTGCTGGGCGACCTGAGAAGGCCAGTTTGGGAGCCTTCAAATGTTAAGGAAATGGCAGTTAGGATTGCTTTACAGAGGGGGAAACTGAGGTTCAGAGAGGGGCGGGGACTTCTGAGGCTGCTTCTCCTCCCCCAACTCAAGAAACCTGAACGCTGGCAGGAGGTCTGCCCCTCACATGCTGTGTGACCCTGGGCAAATCCCCGCGCTCCTCTGATCCCCAAGCATTCAGTAAACATGGAGCAGGGGCCTTGTGTGTGTGTGCCTGGCCCTGGGCGCCTGCCCTCAAAGAGCTGCCATCCTCCGGGAGGGCAGAGAAGCACAAGGGACAATACTCATGAAGGAATAGTAGGTGATTTCAAGCAGTCGAGAGCCCGAGGGCACAGGGATGGCTAGGTGGTGGACCCTGGGCTACAAAGTCTAAGATGCAGAAGCATGGAGGGATGGCATTCCAGGTAGGGGGCACAGCCTCGGCAAAGGCACGTACTTGGGGAACAGTTAGCTGGCCAGATTGGCTGGAAATGATGCAAGGACGAAGTGAGAAGCTGAGAAACTACTTTGTGTTCAGGGCTCTGTGAAGCGCTGTCCAGGAGCGTTTATGAGGTGCTCTCTGTGTGCCAGGCCTTGCGCTAAGCATGGGCGTCTACACCTCAGCTCCCCGTGTTCTCTCCTTTTGTCCAAGCCAAAGGCACAGTTCTGATCAGGTAACTCCCCTGCTCAGGCACTCTCGTGGCTCCCTCTCGCTGCTCCCAAAACGACACACAGTGTCTCCCCCAGGCTGAGCCTCTCTCCTCCTTCAGCTCGGAGCCCTCTCCCCTGGGAAGGCCCGCACACGCATTTGCTTCAATGGGCCTGGGAGGGTTGACTTTCCCCCAGCCCCCCGTACGCAGCGCGTAGCAGGTGTTAAATGCTTGCGCGTTGTTTGGGTGGGAAGGGCTGCTTTGGCTGGCAGGTAGTGAGGCCCCCGTCCTGGAGGGCCGGGCAGGCGGCCCCTCCCCCCACCTCCAGCCACAGTCACCTCCCCCCAGTGGGCGCCTGGGTCCCCTGGTTAGCCAGAGCCCGGGATGGGGGCGGGGAAGGCTGGGAGCTGGGTGGAGATCAGAGGAACCGGCCTAGCAGGCTCAGGAGAGGCTGGAGCAGGGAATGCCAAAGTTGATCCCGTTTGCTCACAGGGCGGGAGCCCAGGGTGGCAGCCAGTCTGGCCGGTGTGTGGACAAAGGGCGGAAGGGCAGGGGCCGGACCGAGGTGGAGAATGTGGGTCACCTTCCTCTTGTCGGCCAGCCGCTGGGGCTTCCTGCCCCCACGCACCCTCTGTTCTCTTAAGGTAGCAGGTGGCTCAGCGGATAGAGCCAGGTCTGGAGTCAGGAAGACCTGAGTTCAAATCTAGCCTCAAACACTTACTAGTTATGCGACCCTGGGCAGGTCATTTCCTCTCTTTCTGCCTCAGCTTCCGCATCTGTCAAATGGGGATACTAAACCATTCCAGGGTTGTCACGAGGATCCAATGAGATAATTGTAAGGCACTTAGCCCAGTGCTTAGCACACAGTAGGTGCTGCTATTTTCTCTCCCTTTCCCCAGTGCTTAGCACACAGTAGGTGCCGCTATCACCTTCTCTCCCCCGTGCCTGGCACACAGTAGGTGCTGCTATCTTCTCTCCCTTTCCCTAGTGCTTAGCACACAGTAGGTGCCGCTATCATCTTCTCTCCCCACTGCCTGGCACACAGTAGGTGCTGCTGTTATTTTCTTCTCTCCTCATCTTATCCAAAGTCTTTCCTTTACAAATAAGGAAACAGAGGCCCAGAGAGGGAAGTCATTGACCCAAGAGTGAGAACCCACACCCAGTTCATGGCAGGCTGGGTTCCACTCCCTCTGACTCCAAAGGGTTCCAGTGGACGGCCTCCACCCTATCCTTGGAGTTCCTGCAGGAGGTCCTTCCCCTAAATGAGCTTGTTTCCCCCCCACCACTAGGTGAGGGTATGTGAGAAGGCAATGTCTCAAGGGGCCCTTACAGCTGAGCCTCCCAGATTCTAACCCGAGATGTGCCACTGAGTTGCCACAGAACCTCAGGAAAGGCCTTAAGTTTCTCCTCAGTTTCCCATTCTGTAAAATGAAGTTGGACTTGATGGGGGCCTTGGGCTGCCCTGCGCCTGTTTCTCTGGGCAAGCACCCTGAACACCAGGTTCTGTAGCTCTCTCATTCTTGGCCCTCACAGCACACTGTCTACTCCTGGTGGGCTTGCGGTCCACTGAGCCCCCCAGATCTTTTTCAGCCAGCCAGCCATTGCCCCATCGCTCTTTCCTACTTCACTTCTGGCTATGGTTTTTTAGGCCGTGGTGCAGGAAGTTTTCTTTCCCCTCTTCTCTTGGTGCCTTGGCTTCCCAAGGTCTTCCAGCTCCAGATTTGGGCCACGGTTTCAATCAATCTGTTGGGATCCTTTTGGCTCCCAACTTGTAGCCAACATGTCTGCCTGTCATCCTGCCCAGGTTTGTACCCTCTCCCCATCTGATAAGTGGGGTGTCTCTGCCCTCATCAGAGCTTGGGCCAAGGGAGGGCCTCCTACAGATGAGAGCTGCCTAGAGAGGGGGAGAGAGAAAGGCCCTGGTCAGAGGGGGCCGGCTGGGGGGAGGGGTGGGGGAAGAGGGGGCCTTCCAGCTCTGAGGCTTTCTGGAGGATGGAAGCCCCTCCCATTTTACACACAAGGAACCTGAGGCACACAAAGGGGAAGGCAAGTGGCAGGTGGCAGAGCGAGGTCTGAGGGCTCCCTGCCTGCCCACACAGGAAGGAAAGTCCAACTAAGCGTTATTTGGACCCTTGAAAAGGTCATTGTCCGAGATGCCCCCAAAGGCGCCCATGTGACCTCAGTGCACACGATGCTGGGCGCACATTGTGGGGAGAGGGTGCTAGCCAGAGTACATTCGAGGGAGGAAACGCAGGAAAGGTGGCAGATGCCTGGGAGGGTGGGCCGAGTATGCTAGAGACCGCTGGGCCAGGAGGAGGCAATCCGGGCAGATCACCCATATGGCCAAGGGGCACCGAATGATAACGTGGCAGCATCCTGCTGAGCCAATAAGCCGATGTGTGGAAGCACCCCCCATCTCCCCGGTGCCTCTGCCCCGGACCAAGGAGCTTGAACCCAATGACCTAACGGGCTGAGCTCCATCTAGGCCAACTGAAGCTGGCTGTCCTCCAGGGCCTCCTCCTCTCAGTCCATCCTGAAATGGAGGCTCTGGCTTATTCTTGGGGAGCAAACATGACAGCGGGCCAGAGGGGTGCACTTCTCCAGGCTTCCTCACATGCCTCAGTTTCCCATCTTCCTTCCTAGCTCAAGGCTTCTTGAAAGCCCAGACCAAGGGGCCTTAACCTGGGGGTCCATGGATGGATTTCAGGGAGTCAGCGATCTTGGAGGAAGAAACTGGATCTTTATTTTCACTAACTCATAACTGAAATCAAGCATTTCCTTCCACGAGGAATTAAAAACCGCTCATGCCCAGAGGGTCCGCGCCACAGGGGGCTCCCGGGGGAGCCAGGATCTGGGAACCTGTCTAAGCATACGCCAGCTGTGTTCTGTTGGAGGCCTCCTTTGTGCACCTGACCTTTTCTGCACTTGGGACCATGATTCTGAGGGGTCCCCGGCCCTCAGACTGGGCCCCCTGGCTCCCCAGCCTTTGGAGAGCACGACCGGCCCGATCCCTGCTGGGGAAGGGGCTGGCCTGAGCCCCCTGGGCCTGGCCCTGCACAACGCCAGAGGCAGGAGGGACTGCGGGGGACGATCGACGGGACAGGGACAATGGTGCCTGAGGGAGGTCACGAGCTCTGCGCGTCGGTGACTTTCCCAGGCGGTACTGCCTTCGGGGCCGGGGCCTGGGCCTGGGCCTCCTCCAGGCCCACGAGCCCAGCGCTGCGGGCCCAAAGCTTCTGAGCCGCCTCGTCGTCCTGCGCCTCGGGAGCTGGGTCCTTCTGGCGGAAGGCGTCAAAATACTTGCCCGAGACCCCGCTGAGCTCCGGAGCCACAGCCAGGTAGACGCTTGGCTGGGCTGCCAACTTGGGCGTCTTCACCAGCAACCAGAAGAAGGGGCCTGAGGTCAGGACGCAGAGGGACGCAGAGTCAGAGAGGCCTCGAACGACACCCCTAGTCTGGTAGGTGGGGAATCTGAGGCTCTGAGAGAGGAAGACGTTTGATTAAGGCCCCCCTCCCCCAGCCAGTAAGGGGCCAAGCAAGCTGACCAGCCGGGTCTGGGGGCCCACCGGGGACTCCTCCACACTCCTGAGGAAGGAGGACTTACCAAGGACCGTGCTGGAGAAGATGGATTTGTGCATGCCCGTGTGTCTGCCCAGCTCGGTGCTGGCTACCCCAGGGTGCAGGGAGTTGGCAGTGACCAGCGTCCCTGCGAGAGACGGGGGCAGAGGAGGAGCCTCAGGGCCCGCCCTCGGGGCCGCGGGGGGCTGGGGGGGCCCGCACGGGCAGGCAGACGGCTGTCTACTGGACAGCGCTCAGGAGATCCCACACTTTATAAAGAGGACCTTGGGGGGTCGGGGAAGGGGAAACGCTTCTGCAAGCGCGAGCACCGTGAGCATCCGCGCATTTGGCCCCCCCGCGACCCAAGTGGGGGATCCCTGGCGGTCACTGGCAGGCGCCTCCCTGAGCCCAGGCGCACCTTCCAGCCGCCGGCTGAGCTCCCTGGTGAAGAGCACCACCGCCAGCTTGCTCTGGCAGTACGCGGCCTTGGCCTCGTAGGGCCGCCGCTCCCAGTTCAGGTCCTCGAGATCCACGCGGCCCGCGACGTGAGCTAGCGAGGAGACGTTGATGACCCGTGAGGCCCCCGACGCCTTCAGCTTCTCTAGCAGCAGGTTGGTCAGAAGGAAGTGACCTGGCAGGGGAGGGGCACGGGGTGTAGACCCCCGGTCACCGTCCCTCTCCGTGCCCAGCCGCCACCGGGCCACCTTCCACCCACAGTAAGAGAGCCCAGGCTCAGTGCCCCATGAGGGGCCGCCACTCACCCAAATGGTTGACCCCCAACTGCATCTCAAAGCCATCCTCGGTGGTCCAGTGGGGGCACCTCATCACGGCGGCATTGTTGATCAGAACGTCCACACGCTCCTCTTCTGGAAAAAGGCCGCAGGGCTCGGGGATCCAGTCCTGCTTGGTCCCCCCCCCGCCCCCTGCCCACAGCGCACACCCGGATTGGAGGCAGGTGTTCAGGGCCTCCACGGCCCAACCCCCAGGCCTGCCTCTCTTCCCCTCAGGGCCGTTCCTCTTGGGCCCCCCTTGGTGCCTAGCACGGGGCAGGGGAGCTGGGCCTCTCCTTTTGTTGTTCTCCTCGGTGCCCAGCACTGGGGGATCCAGGGCTGCCTCTCTTTGCCACCTACAGTGTCACACTCAGCAGATGCACAAGTGAGCGCCACTCGTGTCCCCACCCCAAATCTCACAAGCTCCGATTTCTCCCCTTTCTGGCCTGGGACCGCGTGCTCTTGGCATCGAGGGGGCCGGGGGAGGCAGCAGCGAGGGGAGAGGAGGCCGGGCCAGAGATCCAGCCGGGGTCCTGTGGGCTGAGGGGAGCCAGCAGCCCGAGGATCCCCAGCTCCCAGACAAGGAAGCGTGGCGGCTCAGAGAGGCGAATTAACGTGGGCTGAGTCACACAAACGCCAAGGGTCTGAGCCGGTCTGGCACATTCCAGCGGGCAGCTGCCCCTTCCCGCGTGTGCCCTGCCTCTGGGCTTCCTACCCTCCACAATCTTCTTGGCAAAGGCCCGGATGGACGTCAGAGAGGCCAGGTCCAGGCGCCGGGCATCCACGTGATGGTTAAGCGTGTCTCCCCGGATCTCCTTGGCCGCCGCCTCACACTTGTCCAAGTCGCGACAGGCCAGGATGATGCGGCCTCCTGGAAAGGAAAAAGGGAAACTGAGGCCCCGGGAGGGGCCTGCCTGTGAAGGGGCTGCCCTAAGGGTCCTGAGCACCCAGAGACGGGGCCGCAGGGAGAAGAGCAGGAAGGGACTCTGGAGATCACCTGACCCTCTGAAGTGCACAGGTGAGGAAACTGAGGCACAGACTGACCAGCAGACAGGACTCACAGAAACAGGAGCTGGAAAAGGCACTCAGACACCAAACCCAAATACCCCCTTTCTCATTTACATGGGGGGAAACTGAGGACCCCAAAGAGGGGACTTCCCCAAGGTCACCCTCCCTCCCCCAAAGAACCCTCTGAAGGGCTCCAAAGAGCGGTGCGCATGGCAGAGACAAGTCCTGAACTTAGCAGTCAGGAAGTCGTGGGTTCAAACGCCACCTGGGTGACCCCACGCAGGTTGCTCTGCCTCACAGCGGACTCCGTGGCCCGAGGCCCCTTCTGCCTCCAAATCCATGATCTTTGGAGTTGGCCGTTAGATCTGAGCCCCGTGGAACGGCGGGAGGCCTTGGGGTGTAGTGAGCTCCCCGTCACAAGAGGTCTTTGAACAAAGGCCGCCTGACTGGGCTGGTTTTTTGAGTACCCGAGGAATCAGATGCCCCCGCAGGAATTTCCAACCCTGAAATCTTAGTATTTGATGAACAGAGGAGCCCCTGAAGGCTCAGCTCTTTATTTCACAAATGAGGAAACTGAGGAACACCCCACGACTCCCCTCCCCATCACAGACTTGGAGCTACAAAGGGTCCTGGAGGCCGCTGAGTCCAACCCCTTCAATCTACAGATGGGGAAACCGAGGCACAGAGAGACGAAGTGACCTGCCCAGGGCCCAACTGCTGGCAAGTATCTGAGGCAGGACTCCCTGACTCCAAGTTCGGGGCTCCCCGCCCCTCACGCCTAGCTTCTCTCTGGGAGGGGGGTCAGCACTGAGCCCTCGGGGCTGGGGACGTTACCCCTCCGGGCCAACTCTCGGGCGGTCTCCTTGCCGATGCCGGTGTTGGCCCCCGTGACAATGACTGTCTTCCCATGGATGGTGGCCTTGCTGGGGCAGCTCCCGCCGCTAACTGAGTCCCTGTGGGGAAGAGGGACAGAATGTTCTCAGGGCTCCAAGCAGCAAGGACCCTTCAAGCTCATCTCGAAGAATATGAACAGGCAGCTTTCAGAAGAAACCTAAGCTGACAACAGTCGTATGAAAAAATGCGCTAAATCACTATTGATCAGACACATGCAGATGAAAGCAACTCCATGCCTACCAGATTGGCAAATACGACCTAAAAGGAAAATGATAAATGTTGGAGGGGACGTGGGAAAACTGGGAAACTAACGCATTGTTGGTGGAGTTGTGAACTGATCCAGCCATTCTGGAGAGCAATCTGGAACTATGCCCAAACGGCTACAAAGCTGTGTATCCCTTTGAGCCAGCAATACCACTTCTAGGGCTGTATCCCAAAGAGATCAAAGAAGAAAGGAAAGAACCTATTCACATGTAAATATTTATAGCTGCTCTTCTTGTGGTGGCTAAGAACTGGAAATTGAGGGGATGCCCATTGGTTGGGGAACGGCTGAATAAGTTGTGGTATAAATTGTGATGGAATACTATTGTGTTATAAGAAATGACGAGCAGGCTGATTTCAGAAAAACCTAGATTTGCATGAACTGATGCAAAGTGAAATGCGCAGAACCAGGAGACCACTGGACACGGTAAGAGCAACATTGTATCAGCTGTGAATGACTCGGCAGGGCAATGATCCAAGACAATTCTGGAGGACTTATGATGAAAGATACTACCCGTCCCCAGAGCAAGAGCTGATGGACTGAGTGCGGATTGAGGCACACTGCTTTTCACTTCTTTTCTTGTTGTTGTTGTTGCTGCGACATGATGAATGTGGAAATGTTTGACACGACTTCACGTGTGTATCTGATATGTTACTTGCCTTCTCAATGAGTGAGGGAGACAATATGGAACTCAAAATTAAAAAAAAGTAAATGAGGAAAACCTAGTGACCCCTCCAAGACCTTGTCTAATTAGACGTCTTCTCTGACCCCGGATCACGTCGATGGGTCATCTCCCCATATCTGAAATGTAGCTGTCTGATGTTCCCTAACTCCCTTATCATTGTCCAACTGTGTTGACTTTTTCATGCTTCTCTTCACGTCTGTGTTTGAACTTCAAACTCGCTATGCCTGCTCTGGTCTTTTCATAAGGAATATTTGAAGTCCCCTATTTCATTGAGGTCCATCCCCGGTCCCCACCCCTGTCCTGTGGCATTATACTCAGCTTTGCTGGGTAGGTAAGTTACTCTTGGCTAAAAGCCCAAATCTTCTGGAACATTATATTCCAAGCTCTCCGCTTCTTGAACGTGGTAGCTGCTAAATCTTGTGTGATCCTGACTGGCCCCTCGGTCGCTTACATTCTTTCTTTCTGATTATTTGAAGTACTTTTTCTTTAACCTGGAAGTACTGCATTTTAGCTGTAATACTCCTAGGAGTTTCTGTTTGGGGTTTTTTTTGAGGAGGTAACCAATAGATTCTTTCAATTTCCATTTTACCCTCTGGTCTAGGTGCGCTTTCTCTCTCTGTCTCTCTCACCATGGTGTCCAGAAAGTCCAATGATTCTGTTGTTTTTGCTTTGACATACCTAACATTTTCTTCCATATTTTCAGCCTTTAGACTTTGTTATAATATCTCTCTTTGTCTCCTAGACTTGCTGGTTTCTCTATGGTCCATTCTAATTTAGGGGGAGTTTGTGCAAGGCTTTGTACCTCTTGTGCCAAGATGAATTCCAATTCTTTCTTCCATAGCTCTCACTTCTTCTCCATTTTTCCACTCTAGAGCTCTCATTCCATTTATGAAAAAAAAAAATTAACCCTTACGTTCTCTCTTCCAGGAATTCCAGTTAAATGTGTGCCCAGGCTGTATTTTCCTCTGAGTCATTGCTTGCTGATGTTTTGGAGTCATTCTCTTCTTCTGGATTTGTGTCCCGTTCATCATACCAGCTTTTATGGTGGCATTTTTTTTTTTTTTTTACGATTTGTTTGCTCATTCTCCTAGCCTACTTTCTGATTTCAGATGTGATGTCAGAGCTGGGCTCTGCCACACTTTTGGTGGGCAGGTCTGGGATGGTGCTGTGACTGCTTTCTTGAGGTACTGAGTGCTGTGCTGTTCTAGGATCTCAGGGACAGGCTGGGGATCTGCCAGCTTTCAGAACTTCCAAGGGGGTCTGATGCAGGGGAAAGTCTGATTGCCGCCCTCTGATCTGAGCTCTGCAAGTTCCTGACCTGGGTTTTGGTCAAGCAAGAGTAAGCAGATGCTGCTGGCCTCCACCCTTGTCAGCAGCTGTCCGGCTCTGCTGGGTCAGAGCCACAGAGCTGGAGCCTTCCCTTTGGCCTGGGATTCCTGTCCTGGTTATTCCACTGCGGCCTCCAGACTGGGCTGGACGCTGGAATGGCGACCCTGCTCTGCTCCTGTGCTTCTGAACTCGTTCCTCTCTCAGGGTAAAGCCCAGGGCCTCCCATGTACTGTCCCCTCCTCACTCTGCCCTGCTGCACGCCGGGAATGGGTAGTGAGTGGCCGCATGGCTGGCTGGCACCTGTCCTAGTGAGGGTCTGGGGATGTCCCAGGACCTTGGACACAGTCTCTCCGTGGCACGCTGTGTGCTCCTTGTCCATCCTCCCAGTCTGTCATCCTGTGCTGAGCTGGGCTGGACAAATGACTCCCCATGAATTTTTCTGTATTTCCCCATCAGAGTTCAGTCTGGTGCATCGCCTAGACTTCGCTCCCTCTTCTGGTACCATGATAACAATAATCGTGCTTGGCTGAAGAACTCCAAGGAGCAAACGGGCTCCTCTGAGGCAGGCCAACACTGCTCGTCTAACTTTCAGTCTTAGAATGTTACCTGGAGTAGAGCACCTGGGGCTTCAGTGATTGCTCAGGGTCACGCAGGCAGCTCAGTCCTTTACACCCTGCTGCCTCTCACTCTCGTGATTGTTGCTGTTATGAATGGGGAGCAGCATGGATAGAGCCAGCTTTGGCACCAGCAGGACCCATACTGGCTGGGCCAGACCCTTCCAGTACTCTAGGCCACAGCTGGCAGACAAAGGGCTCTGCTGGTGTCTGTGAACCAGACTCAGGTGTAATTGGGAAATGAAGAGCGAAGGAACTAAAACTGGAGTACGGCAGAGACAATGTGAATAGATGGTTTTCTAAGCCGGTACATACCAGCAGGGATCCCTATATATGGTTTAGTGGCCCCATTTTTGTTTGAGTTCGGCAACTCTATTTTTCTTTTTTAGGCAATTGGGGTTAAGTGACTTGCCCAGGGTCACATAGCTAGTAAGTGTCATGTGTTTGGTCTGAGGCCGGATTTGAACTCAGGTCCTCCTGACTTCAGGGCCAGTGCTCTATCTACTGTGCCACCTAGCTGCCCCTCTATTTTTCAATAAACAAGAATTTATTTTCTTTTTCATCTCCATCCCCAATTCAAAAGGAAAAAAAGAAAGAAGAAACCCTTGTAACAAACTCAGGAAAGCAGACAAATCGCCACAATGGTCATGTCCACAAACAGAGACTCCACCTGCACCTGGGGCCATCTCATCTTCCTCTGGAACCTGGGTGGGTCACTACATAAGGGACCTGAGCTCCCGAGGCTTTCAAAGGGGATTATCTTTATGGTATCACTGGTGTTATATCAGTTGTTCCCCTGGTCTGGCTCACCTCCCTCTGCCTCAGTTCATCCAGGTCTCCCTAGGTTTCTCTGAAATAGTCCCCTTCATCATTTCTCAAAGCACAAGAGTATGACAGTACAGTAAAATATTTCAACAGTACGGTACAACAGTAATGTGCAATACTTACAGCACCAAGGTAGGTTGTCCTTCATTCTCAATGAGGACCAAAATCATATCACTATGCTAGAGTCAAGTGACAACGTGTCTGACTGTGGCTGACCAGACCGACAGGGGCTCAAAATGGTCTGCTACAGTAGGTCGGGCACCAATAGTCTGTGTGAACATTTGAGCTGTATTCTCTAATTTTGCATGGCTCGAGTTTCTTTCGAGCTATTTCTATTCTGCTTTGCTCATAGAGCACAGCGACTTCTCTGATGAGAGCACGCTGTGCTGAGCGGCCCTGTGCCAGCGTCTCCCACGTCACACAATCAGTTCCAAAGTTCTTCTGAGAGATCTTGAGGGTGTCCTTGTATCGCTTCTTCTGACCACCACGTGAGTACCTGCCCTGGGTGAGTTCTCCATAAAACAGTCTTTCTGGCAAGCATACGTTTGCCATTAGAACAACGTGGCCAGCCCACCCGAGCCGCGCTCTCTGAAGCAGAGTTTGAATGCTTGGCGGTTTAGTTTTAGTTTGAGAAAGGACCTCAGCACCAAGGTAGTCTCTATTGGTACAACAGTACTATACAATACTTACAGCACCAAGGTAGTACAGGACAGTATTCCTAAAGCACAGTCTAACAGGAATGTACAATTCTTACAGCACAGCATTCCACAGTAGGTCACTACTGTGCACCATCTACAGCACCAAGGTGACACAGTTCCAATACCACAGTGGAATGGTACTGCACAATACTTATAGAACAAGCACGTCCATCACTGTCGTGTTGCACAACTCGCTTAGCCGTTCCCCAGCTGACTGGCATCCCCTCAGTTTACAATTCTCTGCCGCCACAAAAAGAGATGCCATAAGTATTTCTGTTCAAACGGGTCCTATGTGCCTCTCTTTGATCTCCATGTGGGGAGCCAGGATCTAGGCAATTCTCTGAGACTAGGAAGTGCCAATCTGCCCTGGGAGAAGACGTTCCCCCATCGAGGAGTCCCCTCTGCCTCGGTATCCGCCCTGTACGATGGGGATAAGAACGGCCCTTCCTCCCAGGAGGTTGTGCGGAGGCAATGACGTAATGCGAGCCCTCACACTGCAGATGGGCTGCGATCATGGAGGTAACTGGCACGGGCCCAGGGCCCGGAGCCCGCTTCGCTGACCCCTCTGTCCTTTGTGGGTCTAGGTCACTGGGAGGGGGCACCTCGGAAGGGGCCGCACAAAGCCCCGGCCTCGGGGGGGGGGGGGCGCGTCTGGCTTCCAACCCCGCATCCAACTTTCCCTAGCCTCCACCGGCTCATCTGTAAAATGGGTGCTTTCTGCGGCGCCCAGGCGCAAACTGAGGCCGTCACGCCCCCAGGGATCCACGTGCAGCGTGGCGCCCATTTCACACAGCAGGAAGCAGACTGGGGCGAAGGGGGAAACTGAGGGGGCGGGGGGCACGGTGACGTCACGCGGCCTCTCAATCCTTCCCTCCCTCCCCGCGAGGGGCTCGGAGCGCAGCCCCACCCCCCCCCACTCACTCACCGGAGCAGCACGGCGGCCCCCAGCAGGGTCCCGGCCACGGACAGCGGCAGCACGTAGCGGCTCATGGGGCCCGCCCACTCACGTCGCGCCACGCATCCCGACGTCACGCCGTACGAGCCCCTCGCCGCCGCCGCGAAGCCTGCTGGGACTTGTAGTCTGGGCTGGGCGCGCAGAGATCGCGGAATGCCTACTGCCCAGCAAGGGAGGGGGCGCTCGGGGGCCCTCCCCGCGCCCTCCCCCCAAAATGTGCATGTCTTGTTTACTCACTATAGAGTGAGGGCAGGAACCGCAGGGAGGTGGGAGGGGAGCCGAGGCAGAGCCCCCGACCCAGAGCCCCAGGCTGGCGGGCTGCCACCTTGGGAGCATGGCAATGATGCAGCGCCCAAGAACAGCCCCGGGACCCTTTCTAAAAGGGCCCTCCTCTTCCCCATTTCTTCCTCCTCGTCCTCCCCCTCCTCGTCCTCCCCCTCCTCCTCCTCCTTCCCTTTCTTCCCCTCTCCTCCTTCCCTTCCCCCCCTTTTCGTCTTCAGCAGCAGCAGCCCTATAAATCACCACCGAATGACTTCTAAAAAAGGGAAGAAGATGTTTTGTGGGTAGCTCTGTGAGCAGGACAGCAGAGGATGGGTCTGCTTGAGAAGGCGGGGCAGGAGGCAGGAGGCCAGGGGGGCAGGGTTTCTGGAGGGCACAAACCTGAGCTCAGGCTGGGGGACCTGGGGGAGGGGACGGGGATCCATGCTGTGCCTGTGGAAAATCACAGAGCCCTGAGGAAGGGTCTAGGGTCTAGGCAGTATGTTGGGAAGGGAGTCAGAACCCAGGGTTCTAGGTGCCCCCCTCCTTGGTTCTCACCCTCCCACTCTTCTCCTTGACCCCTATCACCCAGCTCCCAGCGATCCTCCCTACCCCCATTCTCCCATGGACTGCTCTAGAAGGGGAAGGGGAAATTTAGGGGAGAGGGCTCAGCCCAATCGGATAGAAGTCTGCACCCACCCCTCCATCGGACCTTTGCGGGGTCGGAGTTGCCCAGGTCTTAGACACTGGAGCCCCTCAGCCATTTCCCCTAGAGGTCCTCTCTCCTTCAGAATTCAGACTCCAGGCCCAGGGGATTGCCATGAAGTCCAGGGCGGGGCGGTGGTCCTGAACAGCTGTCTCTGCCCCTGCCCAGTAGCCCTCTCCGGGCAGGTTTCCCATCCTTAGGCAGCCTCCCTGCGTGGGAAAAGGCTCTGATCAGTCATGGCTACATTTGTTCACTAGGGGGTGCTGCGGAGTAGCACGATCTGTCAATGTTCCATGGAATGGACTCGCACAGGCGGCTGTTGGGGTGTTGGGGTCTTTGTGTAGCCCCGTGTGCAAGATTCTAGGGACAAATGTGATCATTTTCTGGTGAGGGAGAATTGGGGGAATATGGGGAGAGAGGGAGAGGGAGGGAGGGAGGGAGGGAGAGAGAGAGAGAGAGAGAGAGAGAGAGAGAGAGAGAGAGAGAGAGAGAGAGAAGACACACAGAGAGAGAAGACACACAGAGAAGACACAGAGAGAGAAAAAGGAGGGAAGGAGAGGGAGGGAGAGAGGGAGAAGGAGGGGGAAGAGAGAGAGAGAGAGGAGGGAAGGAGAGAGAGAGATCAAGAGAGAGGAGGGTGGGGGAGAGAGAAGGAGGAAGACAGGGAGAGAGAGAAGACACAGAGAGAAGACACAGAGAGAAAGGAGGGAAGGAGAGGGAAAGAGAGAGAGCGAGAGAGAAGAGGGAGGGGGAGAGAAAAAGAGAGGGAGAGGAGGGAAAGAGAAGGAGAGGAGGGAGAGAGAGGAGGGAAAGAGGGAGGGATAGAGGGAGGAGAGAGAGAGAGAGAAGACACACACAGAGAGAAGACACACAGAGAAGACACAGAGAAAAAAGAGGGAAGGAGAGGGAGAGAGAAAGAGCAAGAGAGAGGAGGGAGGGGGAGAGAGAAGGAGAAAGAGGGGGAGGGAGAGAGAAACAGGAGGGAGGGGGAGAGAGAGGGAGGGAGAGAGAGAGAAGACAGAGAGAAAGGAGGGAAGGAGAGGGAGAGAGTGAGAGAGAGGAGGGAGGGGGAGAGAGAAGAGGGAGGGGGAGAGAGAGGGAGGGAGAGAGAGAGAGAGAAGACAGAGAGAGAAAGGAGAGAAGGAGAGGGAAAGAGAAATCGAGAGAGAGAAGAGGGAGGGGGAGAGAGAAGAGGGAGGAGGAGAGAAAGTTGAGGCTAGACATTCACTGCAGGCAGACAGGGTCCAGTCAACATAGACTGGCAGGCACCCAGATCAAAGTATGCGCCAGAGCCTCTTGTCCTTGTCCAAAGCAAGCATCTTATTCACTTTTCTCCTGTCTGCTGAGATGAGACTCTGGCTTGTAGCCGCCAGGATGTGGCTCCTTTGGAGAGCCTGGTGGGCCCCTGAGGACCAAGGGTTTCCCTTTCCTCACCCACCCCCTTCCACCCCTAGTTTCTATAGAGAGAAACATAGAGGGAGGGAGAATGAGAGAAAGTCCTGTCCCAGGAGGTAGAGACACCAAGAATAATAATTGCACATAACATTCATGTAGCACCTAGTATGTGCCAGGGAAGATAGGTGCTGTTATTATCCCCATCTTACAAGATGAAGTGACTTGTCCAGGGTCACACAACTAAGTAAGTGCATAAGTTCATATTTGAACTCACTTGGATTTGAACTCAGGTCTTGCCAACTGTAGGCCAAGCGGCTGTCTCTAGCAGTCCGTGATGCTTTTGATTTCATACCTTTCTGGTTGGGAGGGACTGGAGGGAAGGCACGGACAGCAGGCTCTCCAGAGACCCTCAGGGGCTACATTGGGACTCCTGGGGTGTTATTAGAAGGTCTTGGGCTGGTTCCTGCAGGTATATTTGTAGCTAAAGCCTTTTTCTCTGTTCCCCCTCAATGGAACATGAACCATCCCCATTCCTGGTTCCGGGTGACCACCTGGGAGTTTGCAGGGGGCTGACTCATCCCTGAGGGGTTCAGAATGAGCCCCACCCACCCCTCTGCCCAGGAAGCTGGAGCCTATTTCCAGCTACTTACTAAGCTGAGTGACACGGGAGCCAGGGGGTAAGTCAGCTGCTTGGGTCGTGTCCAACATCCTCACCCACCAGGGTTGCTGCGTATGGCTGTGCAGCCCACACTCTCTGTCGGTCCTCCTGACATGATTGTATTGGTGGCTTATTTTAGAAAAGGACAGTTGTCTTTGTGGACATCACACCCTCCAGCTTTCTGCCTCTCTTTGTATCTACAGATGGATCTGAAGCAAGGACCAAACCCTAAGCGAGGAACCGAAGTGGGGTGGGGTCTTTCAGGAGCCTGGAGCACTAACCCCCTCCTGTGAGAGGCTGCCTTGCAAGCACCTGGGACTGGGGGAGGGGGGCTCCCCTTTTGCTGCTCAGCCAGTCTGTTTTCTTTTAAGCATTTGTAAGTTTGTCAGATGTTAAAAACTGTCAATGTCTCGTATAAAGTGCATACCCCTCCATGCCCCTTATCTATAATTGGAGGGGCTTGATTTTTATGAACTTCTTTTTACCTTCCTCTCTCGGACTTGCTTCTGACTTCCTCTGGATCAAAACCCTTTCCTTTGCTGGGTCCATCATCCCCTCCCCGTGTTCCCCCCCACCTTATCCCCCCAACCCCCCACTCCCAGCCCACCCCAACCCCCTGCTTTGCAGCTCCCTTTTGAGTGTTTTCTTTCCTTATTAGAGTGTAAGCTCCTTGAGGGCAGGGGGCTAGCTTTCTTTTTGCTTATATTTGTATCTCCAGCACTTGGCACAATGCCTGGCACATGGGAGGTGCCTAATAAATATTTGCTTCCTTCTTTCCTTCCTCTCTCCTTCCCTCCTTCCTTCTCTGTGTGTGTCTGTCTCTCTCTGTCTCTCCTCTCCCTCCCTCCCTTCCTCCCTTCCCTCTTTTCTTTCCTTTGGTGACATTCAGGTAGAAGCGTCCTTGGTACAAATCGCTGTCTCTTTCATTTTTCTCGTTCTTGGGGCTATTGCACAGGAGGATGAATGACTCCTTTTCGTACACGAATACAAAGGTTGGGATTTAAACTCATCCGAAGCCTCCGTAGAGGACCCGGGCTGCACAGGGCTGACCTGCTCCACCTGGCTCAGAGATGACGAGTCCTCGACGTCAAAAACACCGCTCTTCAGTTGGGAGGAATCTGCATTGTCCCGGTGACCAGGGGCAGTGCTGTGGTCCATGAGAATTTACTGGACGTCTTCCCTGGCTGATCTGAAGGTCTCTATTTCTAGAATGGGGGTTTGTTGTTTTTCAATCCATGAAAGATAATGAGCTGCAGGGGTGACATTCTAGAGTCCAGGTCACGTCTTGCTAGGTATTCAGTGATGCTCAGTAGTTTTAGTTGTGTCTGACTCTCCGTGACCCCATTTGGAGTCTTCTTGGCAGAGATACTGGAGCGGTTTACCATTTCCTTCTCTGGCTCATTTTACTCATTGAGCAAAGTGAGGCAAACAGGGTGAAGTGACTTGCCCAGGGTCACACAGCTCATAAGTGTCTGAGGCCAGATTAGAACTCGGGAAGATGAATCCTGACTTCAGACTGGCGCTCTGTGCACTGTGGCGCCCCCTAGCTGCCCCAGGTATTCAGTACAGCCTTCAGTTACGCATTGCACAGTTTCTTCTGTTTTCTTCTATAATCTATGTTGATCTCTAAGTCTGGGCCTTTTAAGAATCTGTGATTTCTCCTCCTCATTCGCCATCATAAACCTTTTTCCACAAACAAATCCTCTGGACAGCTGTTGTTTGATGCTTTTTTTTGGGTCAGCCTATCATTGGTTGAATTCTAGCAGTCACCCAGGGAGGGCCTTTAGGTCCTGGGTCCTACTTACTTTAGAGACCCCGTCTGGAGTCTCACTGGAGTCAGCGAGCTAGTCTTCAAGCATTTAGTAAGCACCTACTGTGTAGCTGGGACCGGCGTGCTTAGGCAAAAGACTGTCCCTGCTCTCAAGCACCTCACAGTCTGATAAAGGTAAGTGCTTTTCCGTTACACTCAACAATTCAGTGACCCCCTGTCATCAGCCGCCCTCGCCCACGGCTTGGCA